ACCCATCATCTTTGCCCCGAGGCAGTAGGCCATTGGGATAGCCACAGAGCACCCACCACAGTGACACTGACCTTGGCTGGTCATGTAGGAGCTGCTCTAGTACCCATCATGCTGCAGTCATGCCATGCAGGACAGCTGCCTTCCCAGCATGCGCAGCACCTCCTAGGACATATTTTCGACCCATATACCAGATGACCATGACCCTGAGCACAACCTGGGTAAAGAGTCCCTATCATGCAAATACACCCTGTGTCTTCCTTTCACTGATGTACATCCTCAAGGTTTCTCCTTCCAAAAGGCTTGAGGAGAACAGAGCCACCCCATGAGAACCCATTCCTCATGCATTTGGCTTCAAAGGATGCCAAAGCACCTCCTCAGTGAGCTCAAAGACTAACTTGGTGAGAGGATCTCATGGGACTCATCTTAAGGGAACAGGAACTGCAGCTACAGGAGATCAAAGCTCCTGCACAAGCTGGGTGTTGCCTTGGGCAGAGCAGAGCCCTCCCTCGCCTGTGCTGGGCGAGCGGGAACTGTCCTTCCTGGACAGGTTTGTGTATCCAAACTGTACCAGGAGGGCACGTGGAGGATGAAGGGCAGCAAATCCTTATGGCATCTCCTCTGAGCCTCTGAGGAGCACAGCTGGTTTGTGCCCTCAGTGGGAGCCAGATTACAGTCCCAGGAGCTTGGCAGCCACCAGTCCCCCCTGAAGCCTGGGCAACGACTTTCTTTGGACCAAGACTCCCACCTCCCCAAAGAAAAGGCTGTTCCCAACGAAAATGGCACCAACAAGGCCTCAGAGCACCTCCCGGCCCCGCGGCCTGCCCAGATGCAAGTCAGTGTCCTGACAGAGGCAGCAAGGAGTCTGCTCGGCCACTGCACAGACCCCGCAGCCAGGCACCTGGGTCCCAGGGGTGATGGATGAGAAGGGGGGTGCCGGCAGAGCATCGGCCAGGGCTGCCTTAGCGGGGTCATGGGGGTCAGAGCAGAGGGGGCCAGGATCCCCAGGGCACGCCGAGGTTAACCACTTCATTGCCATGGAGCCAGCTGTGGTACCTTCTACCCTTTCAGTTACAGCTAGAAAAAGGGCTTCCAGATTTTGGGAAAGGCCTGAAACCTCCTGAAGCCGCACACCGTACAAATCCCACATGGCCAAGGAGGATATCCAGACCAGGGAGGGTGGAAAAAAACTCCCTCTTTCCTCCCTCCTTCCCCAATATCCCCCCACAGATCTTGCACATCTCTAGGCTTAACTCAGCCGTGCCGATGGAGCAGTGCTCATCCTCCTTCACCTGCAGCAAACTTGGGAAAGCCCATACGGCTGCAAGCAGACTCCGAGCTGTCCCCACTCTCCATCCCAAGGCCAGGACACCACCCTGTCCCAAAGTGCCATCATATCCCCTGACAGCAGTTCTCCCTTGGAGACACTTCCACCCTGGGGGATGCCCATCTGCTCCATGCAAGCGGTAAAGACCTCATCACGCCCCAAAACTCTGCCTGGACATCTTTGCTTTACTCATTGCTGTAGATTTATCTGTGCTGTCAGACAAATCTGGCCGAGCAGAGCTCACCCCATCATGGGCTGCGGCCGGGGGGTGCCTGGGCCTCCCACAATCAGAGGAGTCGGGTGCCTTGGGGGTACAGGCTGGGCGGTTGCCTCTGCCCCCCTTCCTCCAGACAAGCAGGAGCCCCAGCACCACTGCACCCAGAAGTAGTGCTTTATCACCGCACCCCAGCAATGCTGGTCTGGCAAAACCTCCTCTCGGCAGCCCCCACAATGGTCCCTGGGACAGCCATCCACCCCTCCTCACAGCCAGGTCTCTCCAAAACCCAGGGACAAAGGGATTCCCACCAGCTTCAGAGCCAGACTTCACCCCAAGAGTTTTAAAACAGCCAGCCCTCCAGCCCGCAGTCTTCTGTGGCTTGAAAAAAGTAAAATCCAAATAAAGGCCGCTGGGCAATCCTCTACTTTAACATATTCCTCCAAACCCAGAGCTTTACATTGCAAAATAAGCTCAGAGGCGAGGCAGGGCAAGCCAGGCTGTGGGGTTTTTTTTTGCAAGGAGAAAGGGGCAGTGAAGGCACCTGATACCTCCCTATAATTAGAGACAGTTCCTTATCCCTAATGCCCCTACCAGGGCACCTGTATCCAACTTGGAAAAGCTAAAGTATTGCCCAGCTTCATAAAACTATCCATCTGGCCCTCCCCTGTTTGTTTCCCGACTATTTTTGCACTTTAATGTGTCCGGCTGGGTCAAACTGTGACCAGTTACTCCTGAGCAGGGATCAGCCATCCCTCCATCCCTCCTCCAAGGAATCCGGTGTGCCGAGGGGTCCAAAGACTCTCCACATATCAGTTTTCCCAGATAACCTCCTTCCAACCACGAGTGTATACTTAGCAACAGCAGTCATCCTAGCACAGGCCCTTGAGACTCCTCTAAGGATCTGGAGAATTCGAGACAGCTGGGGATAGACATGGTGAAGGAAAGACCAGGGCTTGCTAGTGCAGCAGAGCAGTGACCATACATGGGCTGCCAAGGACTCCTCACAGCTCATGGGGTAGGAAGCCCCCAGAAGGAAGGAGATAGGAGAATCTGAGAGAGACTGATCTCTCATCTCAGACCCCATAGGAGAGAGAAACCTGCCTCGTGAGCCATGCTCCTGCTCAGGTGCAAATACCCTGCAGAGCACGGCCCAGGCCATGGGCATGTCCACAGCCGTGGGTGCAGCAACTAAGGTCAGGGGCTGCCTGAAGCCTCCAGAGCTCTAAATAACAGACCCAATACACACCAGGTTATCCAGCCCTGGTGTAAGGCAGGCTTCCTCCACACCTTGGGCTCCCAGCCTCCAACCATCAAGGCAGGAGCATTGGCTCCTTCATCCTGCACCATGTTGTCCCACCAGGGCAGGACAACCCAAGCAGCCACCTCCCCAGAGCCTGCCCCAGCTTCTCACTTCTTTTGGGAAGGCTTCGCATCAGGCTTACGCTGCAGTGGTTTCCTATATTGCAATTCCAGTCCACGGAAGAAAGCATAACACCAATTAGGTTTAGGTGGTGTTACAGGGGTGGCGGAAGACTTTGACAGCATGTCCCCATTTTTATGGGGAAACAGAGTAAGCTAGGTCCAAATTAGGATTTCTAGGATGTTTCCCAATGCAAGTTCCTCTTCTATATACACTGGGCACAGTTAGATAAGGTTCCTTGTTTATGCAAACCCCAGCACCTTTTTTCTCCCCGTATCTCCTCGCTGTGCTTTTACACCAGGGAGCCTTGGGGTTTACTCTCCTGGCAGCTCCATCACAAGGCTCACTGCTCATATCTCTAGCACACCTTAAACTGTCTTAGGAGCACCATCCTGACTCCATCCATACACAGGTCAGCTTGAAAAGAGCTTTGTCTTCAAGGAGAGGAGATCAGAGAGATGAGCTAGCCACAGGGTGAGAAAAGGCAGCCCTGAACAGCAAGTAAACGCTTCCTTCCTCCATTTTGGGAGTGGAAATCACCAGAGCCTCGCAAGCGTTTAAGTAGCGCAAGTAAAAGCAGTAGAAGTTTAGAGCTGCACATGAAACTATTACACAAGTTGGGAGAGAAAGTAATGCTCTATCTTTTAAAAACAAAAAGGAAGTTACTTTTGCTCGCTACTTCTTCTCCATCAAGTTTCATACTCCATCAAAATTCTGAAACGCAGCTAGGGAGGAAGGGCCGTGCCCCCCTGCCACCAGTATTCATATACACATCTTGTGAACAAGCTTCCAAAGGCTGTAAGGGTTGGAGTAGTACAGAGCAGACCCCTCCAGACAGCCTTTTATTTAGCCGAAACTCCAGCAGGAAACAGAGAGGGGAACAAGGTGACCCTGCCTCCCCGGCAGCCCCCGCCAGCTCGCCCTGGCACCCACTGCAGCAAGAAGGACCAGTTCCCTGGGGCCACCTTCAGCGTCTGCTCCTTGCTCCTGCGAGGTGAGCTGAGCCTGCGGCGGAGACACAGCCAGGCTGGAGCAATGCTGGGAATCCCACAGACCACACTGAGAAAGCCCTGTGCCCCCCCAACAGCCCAGGCTTCCCTTTTGTTTCAGCAGAGTCAAACACAGAGCCTTCCAGCGCCTTTTGAAGCTTCCAGTCAAGTCTTCAGCACAGGCTAATTGCTGTCAGGTGTCAGCCAAAACACTACTGCCACCACTAGTGACAGGAGATGACACACACACCTTTCTCCTCTTATTGTCACTTAAGGCTTGGGTTGGTTTTTCTCCTATCAACATTAACTGCGCTGGCTCGCAGAAGCCTTGGGGAGAAATGCTAATGCGAGCTTTGAAGCTGGAGGCAAAAAATCAGGCAGCCCACTCCCCCAAGCTCCCTGGATGCTCAGCCTGAATCCAGTCCAAATCTGAGTCCTTCTGGGTGACACACCTCAATACTGACAGACGTGGTCTCTGCCACCGTCTCCTTCTAACCCCCATGGGAAGCCATCCTCGTTGGGGCAAACAGACCCCCAATTTTACAAGCTCTGCCGATAAAACAATGAAGCACAGCGGAGGCACAGGGGGATGTGCAACCTTACAGCGACTAGCTGGAAACCTTGCCAGGCTAATTTGCTTAGAGGCAGAGAGGACATGGCAGGAAATCAGAAATGCCCCTGATTGCTGCAAGGAGAGGAGGTGGCTGGTCTCCACCAGCTGGTCTTAAAGATGAGGCTGATGCCAACTGCACAGCAGGTCTGGGTTGCCAGATCCCTTGCTGAGCTTGCCCGCTGCTGGAGCTGCGGTTCCCCACTTGATCGAACCCCCTTCCAAGGGCTTTGAAATTCAAAGATGAGACCTTTAGGCAGTCTAGGTCTCTCCCTAACTGAAGGAGCTTGTCAAGCACCTGCGAGGGCATCTGACCCGTTGCAACCTCATGGGTCATCATCGTTTTGGCTGCGAATCCTCCTTCGCCACCATCACCCCTCCCAGTTTCCCAGGACTGGAAGGCAGCTGTGGCATTGGGGTACCCAGTCCCCAGGCCTCACCTCTCACTCTCCTCGGAGGACTCATCTCCCAATCTGTTGACACCTTCCGCGCCCTCCTGGCACCCCTCCGAGTCTGACATCTTCTCCCCCAGCCGGCGTGGCGGCCCCACGGACAGCTCCGGCACAAGGATGCTGCTGCCGTTTCGCTTTTCCTGTGCTCGGCAGAAGTGAGCTGTGCCGGAAACTTCACGGGCTGAGGGTTTGGGGGGATGGGAGAGGGGCAGAGGGAAGGCAAATTTGGCTGGGTTTTTTTTTGTTGTTTTTTTTTTTTAAAACCATTGGGACTATTTTAAGGTTTTGCCTCTGCTAGCAGCTCGAAATTGGAAAGTACTGGGCTAACCCAAAGCAAAAGCCGGGGGCACAGATACCCACACCATGGCAGGGAGAGGGGTGACCCGCTGCTCCCCAGCTGTCCATGCCGCTTTGGGGACAGCCAGCACCTCTGAACCACAGCACTCTATAGTGCACTGGGTACTGGGGTGCTGCCACAGGAGCTGCCGAGGTTCTCCTGACTTTGCACCTCAAAGGCCGCTGGAGCCAAAGGGTCTGCTTCTGCTCTGTGGCCATCGCCCCTCACCTCCCGTCCCAGCTCTATTCCTTCCCTGCAGCTTCCCCCTGTTGCCACCATGGGTGGAGGTCCTGCAACACCTGCTGGGGCTTGGACTCTTATGCCTTCATGTCTTTGCCACCGCTGAAGGACACGGCCAGCAGCAGATTGGCAGGAGGATGCCAGCAGAGCACGGTAGCACGGCCTCACCCTTCCTCCCTGCAACGAGGGGGACAAGCATCCTCAGCTCCAGTGGGGAACCAAGAGCAGAGAGGTGCCCCACCTGAATCCCTACAGCGCCGCCCCCATCAAAGCCTGCCCGTCCCCACCAGGACCCCCACAGTGGGGGCAGACCCTGCTGGCACACTGCATGGGTCAGGGGTTTTTTTGGCAACACCCGCCTCTCCCACCAAAGCTTTATTTACACCACTGCTGCCAGGACGCAGCTCTTCGCCAAACCAGAGAGAAACAGCACCCAGTCAGTGCCCTTGAGCCCGAGGGGACAGCGGGGACAGGAGGGAGCAGAGGACGGGTGTGGAGTGGCAGGTGCTTAGGACTCGCCAGCCTCGAACATCTTCTTCCTGCCCTCCATGCCAGACTTCTCCTCGATGTTCTTCCTCCAGTCGCCGACATCACGGAGGTCCTTCTCCTGGGGGAGGGACGGGCGCATGGGTGCAAGCGGTGGCCCTTGGGTGAGAACCCACCCAGGTGGGGCCCTTCACCCATTCACCCATGGAAAACCTCATGTCAGCTAGAGGAACCCAATTCCACCCATGGTGTACATCTTTTTGGGCTGCACTCTCCTTTTTCAACATCATGGGTGCCAAAGGAGGAAATACTGAGCAGAAGGACATTACAGATAACGGCTCACCGTCAACCCTCTCTTTCGTACAGAGAGGCATAAGCCTCCCAAAAAATGGGGGCCAACTCCTGTACGGGCACAGGGGAGAGGGAAGGAGTACCTTCTCGGTGTCTTCCTTCTTGACTTGCTTCAGGTTGGCTCGAAGGTCCATGCAGACCTTGTGCTTGGAGCCCAGCAGGGCCCGCAGCATCGCATCAGCAGACATGCGCACCCTGCGCAGGGGGGGCCTCTTGAACTTGCCCCGCAGGTCGAACAGCTTCTGGCTCAAGTCTTCCAGCTGCAGGGGGACAAAACATGGTGGGCAGAGAGAGAGGCAGGGCATGGTTTTCATGAGATGGACCCAAGAGGCACAGGGAGGCACAAAAGATGGGCTGGAGACTCCTCTGAGGGATGGCTCCAGTGGAAACTCACCTCCTTGGTAGTCTTCTGTAGCTTCACCTCTGTGTCATACCTCTCCTCATCCACTGACTCGATCTTGGCATGAAGCTTTTTGCACAGCTCCTGGGAGGAAAAGCAGAGGGATGTTGACTGCTAGGACTCACACACGTGATTCCTCTCTCCTGACCACTCTGGCTCTGAAAGACCTCGGTCCAGAAGACCAGATTGGGTCAAGATCAGATGGTGAAGAGTAGCTCACAGGCCAGCTCCTGCTCTCCATGCTACCGGCTTCACACAAATGCTGCCTCAACACGTCATTAGAAACGCAGCTTTCCTGCCAGACAGACTCTCTTTTTTGCAGAGAGACCCCAGCTGTTTCTCCAGCCAATTCCACACCCAGCCAGCTCCAGAGCACCCACAGGTAAGAAGAGGGTCAAGATGGGAAGGACAACCTAGATGCACCAGGCTGCCTGATGGAGCCAAAGCTTTTCTGCTTTGGCACAGTGAAAGAGTTAAAGAAGCATTTACCTGAAGTTCCTGCATGGATCCTGGAAGAGACAGAGGAGGGCAATGCTCTGCCAGGTAGTTTTGCTTCTCCACTTCTTTAGCAGCTGCTTCTTTTTCTATTTCAGTGGCAGCAAGCTGGAGCATAGCACTCTGGAAGGCAGCAGAAGGATGGTCAGCACGGAGTGGAGGTGAGGGAGGAGGGCAGCGGTGGTTGGCAAGGGAAGGAGAGCCCTGATGGAGAGGCAGCTTGGGGAGCTCCTCATCAATACCAGCATCTCCAAGCAAGGGATACTGGTGGGGACCCAGTAAGGAGTGGGGAAGGGTGTGGAGGACCCTGAGACTGTGCATCGTGGCCTCTTCCAGAAGGGAAAGTGCCAAGAGCTGGCTGCCTCGGGATGGGAGATGGGATGGTCAGGACACACCTCACCCAGCCCCAGCAGTGCCACGTACCTTCAGGTGCTGCCGACGGGCAGTGGCTGCCCTCCTTTTCTTCTGCAAGTGGGAGAACAAGAGAAAAGCAGGTTATTGGGCATCTGTTCCCCCTTCCGCTCCCCCTCCCCACACAACCCCACAGTCCACCGAGGACCTGCAGCCACGCCAAGGAGGTGGCTCCCACCAGGATACAGTCTGACACACAGCTGGTCTCCAAAGCAACAGTACTCAAAGAAGAGGCTCCTTGCTGAACCCATCTTTGCCAACCTCAGGCAGCTAAAACCTACAAAGTGCCTCAGGAAAAGGAAATTGAAGATGTGCATATAAAATATAAGTTCAAACTTGGCTTCTTGGGACTTTTAGCTTTTTCTCTAATCTCTCCACTCAGACACGTGTTTTGCTTTGCACTCAACCACCCTGATGCCTCTGGGCACTCGGGAACTGTGGGACGTCGTTCTGAGCAGTCCAAGGCACACACGGTGAGGAGGACAGCCAGGCAGGTGAAAACATGAAGGCTGCATAATTTCTGGAGTTGGAAGACCCAGTGCAGGTGATGCTGAAGGTGACGCTGTGAGAAACAGCAACCCTTTCTGCAACTCTTCCCCAGCCTGGCACCTACAGGTGTTTTGATGCGCCGGGGCACTGGGGAGGCAGGTCCAGGGCATGGGGAGTCCATCACAGCTGGAGGACAGACACAACCACGGGGTCTGCATGCGTGGAGGCTGCTCTGACTGGGAGAGGTGATGGACCACAAAGCAGCAAGACATAAACTCGTTCCCTCTTCCCTGGGGTGCCAGGTGAGCCTGGCAGTCCAAGTCTGCCCTTCTGTACCTGTGACATGCTGGAAGAGCAGCAAGAGGTCTCCTATTTATAAAAGGAGCCACAACCTTGATGTGCCCCTGCACTGCAGCTGTTTCCTCAGCATTTTGCCCAGAAAACCGAGCAAGGCTGAGCGTGGCCGGGGCAAGGGAAGCACACCCTGACGTCTGAAGAGTTGCGGTGGGGAAGTAAGAAAGCAGCGTTTGGTGTGTGTCTGTGCTGCACAGAGGAGGAAGTGGATCAGGATCTGCAGAGCGAAATGTAACAAAATCTGACCTGTTTTGCATATGCAAATAGTGCTAAGTCCCTCTTGAGAAGGCTGAAGGGCTCCGCAGGGGGAAGGCATCCAGCTCAGAGATGCAGCACACCATTAACTGGCAGGATTTTGCTTGTATGAATCTGGCCATGGGCCATGAGAGGGTAGATGCCTTGAGCACTGTCAGCCCAGGACTTATGCTCCATCTGAAGACTGGTACCTTAGCAAAGAGTGCCCTCCCAGCCTTCCCTGGGGACACTGGGTTTGACAGGGATTCAAGGCACCTGTTGGACACCAGCACCATATTGTGGTATTGATACTGATATAGATAGATATCAATATTGATATTGATATATCAATAGATATCGACGCATATCTACGCGTCTCTGAAATCCTCTTTTCTCTTGGTGAGGACAAGCTCAAGCTTGTGGTGTTTTGGACATATGGGGAGGTGCAAAGCAGAGATGAAGGATGAAGCAACTTGCTAAGTGGAGATACAGAGCGTCAAAGCCATGCACAACTCTCCCACACTTTCCTTTGCGTTTCCCCAGACTTCAAGCCGAGCCCTGCTCCAGCTCTGCCCGAAGCGAGGGAGAACTTGCTAAGGATGCAACCTTCACCGTGCTCACGCTGTCCTGGATCCAGGGCTCACCAGATCGCCTTTGAGAAGCGATTTGGCAGTGCTGGATGGGCAGAAAACGAGGGGCTAGGTGTGGGGCTGCACGAGAGGATGCTCTGCTAAGGGCTGGGTAATGGATGGGTGATGGAGGAGAGGCGGCTCTGGACTATCGCCTTCCCAGCACCATCTCGTGGCCGGCTGGGGAAAAAGGAAAGGAAGGGGAAAAGCATCTAAGTCCAAGCGAGGAGGCAGAAAAGACCTTCAAAAGGGATTTTTCTTCTACTTCCCATCTTTATCAGAAGGAATCAGCAAGAAAGCCTTGCCTTGAACCATTCTTCCCCCTCACACCCAGCAGCTGCTTTTCTTAAGGAGGAACAGTGAAGCCAGGATTGATGCCATGAGCATTGCTAAAGGAAAACCCCAGCAAGACACACTTACCTCTTCACTGTTCAGGATGAGCAGATGGACAAGGAAGAGAAGGAAGAGAAAGAGGAGAAAAAGGCAGTTAGCATCCTAATCGGAAACAAGCAGAGGAATCTTAAGAAGCGTAAAAAATTGGCAGTTGAACAAAAGCTTTTAAATGCCAACAACATATTAGAGAGAGAAAAATGGGAACTTACTCAGACATGTTGCTTTAGACAGTTGTCAGCCTGCAACGAAAACCAAGGGAAAAAAAATTATTCATGCTGGTGCTGACTTTCTTGGGTTTAAAAACAAAGCAAGATTCCTCTAGAAAAAAAAAAAAAAAAAAAGAGGAACAGGTTTGCTCTTATTTCCCAACTTCTCCAAATTTTCATCGCATGGGGAACTAGGCTGCAGTTTGTGGATGGGAGCCAAACACGCGCCTACTCACAGCCACACAAACTTCAACATCGGGCGACTTCTGGCCCAGCACCATTTGGTCTGGTCACAAAGAGAGGTCTGTGACAGTAACTCCTGCAGGCATGTTTCTTGTTTGACCCCCAGGAAACCACTTTATGCAATGAAGGAAGACAAGAGAAAAGCTATTTTGGGTTTACTGTTTCCCTTTGCCACGCAGTCTTGCCCCACTTCAAGAACAAGAAAGATCTCAAAGCCTGCGGAGGGTTGGGACACCCTGGGAACACAGCCAGGCAGTGACCCCAGGTGACAAGGAACGACTCCAAAGGATGCTGCTGCCCATACACGTATCCATCACGTGGGGCGGGGGGAGCCTGTTGTGACAACCTCAGCAGAGACGACGTAGAACGGGGTTGAAAGTTGCTGTTGAATTGGTAAAGGCACTAAGAGTTTCCCCAGGCACATCCTTGTGTTTCCTTCAAGTGGAAATTTTACAGGTACAACGCAGCGTATGAGGGAAGGGATGGAAGAGCACCTTTCTTTTGCAGTAAATTATTTCCCCATAAATAGAATTTTGCTTTCCTAGCAGAGCAATATCTCCTGCTTGTCCCTCCTAAAGGAGAGATGCAGGAGTGTCAGCCGAGACCAAACTACGCTTGTCCTTCACGGAGCAGGCGAGCCCCCGAAACACAGCCATCCCCAGAGCTGGGGGGCTCCGTCAGGAGGTGAAGTGTTAACGGGGGCTCACACCCGAGGCAGGAGGCACAGCTCGTAGGGCCAAGGAAACTTTATCCTGGAAAATGTGCAGGCCCATCACATTATTGGGGGGGGGAGGAGGAAGGGGGGAGGAAAGTGCTTCTAAAAATGGTCAGGGAGCTGCAGAAGGAGCTGCAGCTGTCTCCTCGGACGGCAGCCTTTCCCTGGTGCCAGCCCCCGTGACTCAGGGAGGTCGGGGCGATGCAAAGCAAAAGCCACCACAGGTGGCCAGGCTACAGCCGAGGGACAGGGCGGCCGAGGAACGCCAGCTATTCTCACTTGCGTCCAGCGATGCTGCGAGCGCCGGGGAAGCGAGGGGACGACGCCAGGCTGGGGCTGGCTGGCTGCAACCTGGGCTTCGAATCACCTGCTCTTGGCAGGGGGGACCCAGTAAATTTGGACGTTGCCCCTGTCCGAGGGTGGGTTTTCAGGAGAAAGGCGCTGCAAAGACCGGGTCAGGGGCAAGTAGGGAGCATTGGTGGGGTACCGCAGTCGAGGATCCCGCGTCGCGGGGAGGTCAGCGTTAGGGAGCCTGTGGCTCCGCTTGCCCTTGCCGCACAAGTCAGAGAGCAAAACCAACCAAGGGAGGGGAAGGCAGGAAAGCGAAGAGGAAGAAGGTTGCTGGGAAAGACAGAGGGAGCCTTTCCGATGCACAGACCCTCTCCCGCAGGCAAAGGATGGAGAAGGTTTTATTAGCAGCCCTGTTTCTCCCAGCAGGTCACCCCACTTGGTATTTATCTCCCTAAAAGTCAGGTGAGTGTATCTGCTCCCCCGACACCCCGTAAGAGCAAGCTGGGTCAGTAAGAGACATGCAAAACGGCTCACCCAAGTCTGGAGGAGAAAACCAGAGAGTGCTGCTGGCTGGACAGGACGGAATGGCGAGCCGCAGGCAGCTGGCTGAGTAAGGAGGTATAAAAGGGCTTCTCGGGTGGCTCAGCAGAAAATCCACCTTCTCTTTAAGGGCATGGAGACCTTCTCAGACCAATGATGTGCAAGAGTCCCT